GGAATATAAACAAGTCATAAGTTCTAATAGGGCGGGAGTAAGATAAAAGGATAGGTATTATAAAGATGGGCTATGACATTAAAATGAGTGATAGACAAGGGTACGGTAAAAAGTTTTTCAAGGGACAAGTTGTAGCTTAGTGCCAAGAATGAAAAGACTTAATGACGATGCAGGTGAAGCGTCTGGTAATATATCAAGTCCAACGCCGGGAATCATGATAACTACTATAACAGAGGAATTCAGACAAAATCAACCCTCATATTCTTCATTAATACCCAGTTGTCATGCTTTGACCAGGCAGGCGAGCTATGATGAAATAATCATCGCCTGTTTAATAATATATGTCGACGAAGAAGGGATCGAAGGGTTGGTGGCCGAAGGGAAGCTCACCCAGCACGGAGGAGGCCCCGTATCCCATTGCGCTTACTACCACATCGGAAGCACAATTGACCAATGCTTGTCCCTTCAAGCTTGGTATGTCAAATGCACAGGGATCGCTGGAGCTTTGCTGTAAAAGTAAAGACAGCAGAGCAGGATTTTGAAAAATTTCCCAAAAATTCATCCTGTTGTTCTTTCATGTTATAGGTGAAATGCTTAATAATCTTCTAGCGGAATCATCATGATAAAGCTTTCTCCATAGCCTCCCATAGTTAAAAAAGAAGTAACAGCAAAAAACCCAGTGATGATCAAAATAAACGATCTTTAGAAATAAACAAATATCTGTAAAAAAAAAAATAAGAATAGTTGTAGAACAATCCTCAGGAAATAGTTCTAAATAGGAATTAAGACAACTTAAGGATATCCATATTCTCTTAATCGGAAGAACATCATCTTGAAATAATATAGTTAATGAATGTATAATAAAAGAGATTATGCAGCATATATCTTACAAGGCTAAACGTTATTATGACTTTAAAAAATAAGTTATGATTGGCTGCAGTCTTATTAGCAACATAAAAAAACTTCACCTTAAGGGAAGATGGCTTAGTAAGGCATCGGTTCTAGATAGGCTTTAGGGGACTACTCTTTTAGGAAGGAGGTTGAAATCGCCATTAAAAAAGGCATAATTAAGTTAATATGGCCGCCGAAGCCACTTGGCTAGTCCAAAGTCTAATGAGATGCCACGATTAAATTCAGAGACTTCTATTAACTGTTGTAAGCGATCGTAAAGTAAAGCATTCTAATATGCTTATCTGCATCAGCTCAGTTAACAGGCTGTGGATTAAAAGAGCGAACTTTGGTGGCCAGTGTTCCGATTATAGTTTAATATTGGTTTTCAAAAGAAAAGGAATTAATTTTATAGGTATTAAGACCAAGATGGTTGAGCAGACAATTTGTCAAAGGATCGGCTTCACTTGTCTCCGATGCGTTGCAGTGTGGTGCTAAGAATAACAAGACTCACTGATGATACCAGCTAAACGTCTGAGAATGTACCACATCCACGATCGGACTTTTGAAATTATAATGCATACTATGGATTCCGGACTAGATGCGTTCCTCTAAGTCTTCCTACCAATATGACCAAGATGTAAAAACAAGGTCAAAATGCTTATAAAGAATTAATTTTGATTCATCAAAACTCTTTAAGTCTTGAAGATAAGATATACCTCAAACCTTTTGGCTCCAATAATGGGGCCTTCAGGAGTACAAAAAAACCATTTCTTACATGAATGTTGACTAGATATCGAAAGATGGCATGAAGACCTTCGGGCCCATCAGAGATACGCCAAACCACCAGAAAAATGGCAGTACGAAGAAAGGCTAGCTGCTTAAGGGCATCGATCACGGTCTCGGCGGCAACCTGCGAGGCGTTTCGTGTGTTGGCGATTTGCTGGACAGGGGTACAGGCAGAAGCACTACGACGACTTGATTTCATGGCGAATCCCCACCAAAAGTATAATCGGAAATAGAAAGAAAATTCAATTTTTTTTTCCCGATTTTCAGCCCGACCAGCAAGCAGAATGTTATAAACATTAAAAAATAGTTTAAATAGGTACAATCGAGTCAGATAGCTCACAAGTTGCGTAAATAAACTTTATAATGAAGTAGAATCAAACGTTTCTATTAAATTTATCGTGATGTATTCCAAAATATACGCTGAGGAATGCAATAAAAAATCAGGTTCATAGGAGATTGCCTGAAAGATATGGCCATTAAGCTGAGCATAGAAATTGCGGAAAAAGCGTAAATAATTTAAGCATTTTGTTTCTTCATAAATTTCGAATATTTAAGACCAGTTGATGAGTTTTAACGAACAATCCATATACACAAACAGCTTAGGCGAGAAGGTGGTCACCGCCCTGTTGAAGATTCTGGAATAAGAGAATATCTTGGAAGCAAAGCGGATACGGAAAGAATCCTTAACATGACTGACTAACCTGACATTAAGGACCATATATTAAACCTTTAAAGGAAATATCTATGAGCAAATATTTGAACTACCTATGGAAGCTTCACTATCACCTCTTTTGGCAAATTTATGCATGAACAAACCGAAAAAAATAATTAAAGAAGTCGGCACTGCAACCAAGGGTGCTCATGCGACACCTGAATGAGTGTTTTGTGCTTTAGTGACATGGTAAATATGGATGAATTCCTAAACTCTATAAATGATGTGACCAAACAGAAGGCCGTATATAAGTAGATTTTCGAGAC